CACCCAGACTGGAGTGCAGTGGCCACTCTTGGCCACTGCAACCTTGACTTGCTGGGCTCTGGCGATCCTTCCACCTCAGCCTTCCAAGTAGCTGGAACTACAGGCGCGCGCTACCACGCTCGGCTAATTTTTGACTTATTGTAGAGATGAGGTCTTGCCAAGTTGCCCAGGTGGGTCACGAACCCGCGGGCTCAGGCAATCCACTCACCTCAGCCTCCCAAATCGCTGGGATTACAGGCTGAGCCACCGAGCCCAGCTCCAGCCCATCTCTTAATAGGAAGACCTAATATCATCAAGAGATTAGTTTTCCTAAATCTTCAAATATAATATGTCTTTGAAAAGTAGTATTCAAAGAGAAACACGTTTTGGAGACCATATGAAGGGGTTGTGGTGAAATCCTGGGGGTTTGCTCTGGAGTAAGATTTAGGGCTGGTTGTTATTCTGTATTCCTCAAATAAATGCTCCACCTGTCTCAGTTTATAGCACCGAGACTGGGATAAAGGCCTTTATCAAAAGAACTTGTTCTATATATCCAGCATCTTAATGTAGAGACTGCAACACTGTAGGTGTGTTTAATATTGAACAGGTGGGCGGATGGATGGATGTGCGGATCAAGGTATCTGTAGACCAGTTTTGGAAAATGTTGAGAGAAGCATCCTTATGTACTTATAATGCAGTGCCTGAACTCTCACCCTTGGCCTGTAGAAAATTCTAGCGTGGGCCTTGAGGCATGTATGGAGGAAAAAACTGAAATTCCCTATTATTTGGAAGCCCTGTATTGTGAAAAAGATGCATACATTTAAGTAGCCATGATTGTGAACTGTGAAATGAATTAGATGCTTCTGATCAAGAGAGAACCAGCATTCTGTGTGGCATTTTTTAGTGTCACGGGTGGCTTCTGCCTCTTTCAGTTAGTCCTCTCTCTGGTCCATGGTCCTTAGGGATCTTGTCCTCACATGATTTCCCAAGTTCACCCTGTCTGGAAACTGTTCATATGCCATAAAACAATAAGAGCTGACATTTCTGTAGCATTTTTTGAAGAATTTTGACTTTACAAACGTAATCCTCCTTTCAGTCTGTTTTTACAGGTTGAGAAACTGAAATTCTGAAAGATTAAAATACTTGTTTAAGACCACATCGGAACTGAAACAGGGTTTTTTCAGGGCCCCTGCTTTGAAGGTCCTCATTTCTCCCACTAGGGGTCTTCTCCAGCATGCCTGGACTACCTGCATTTTTTGAAGTTCCCCATATATCCCTGATATTCAGGATAGTTTCAGTTATTTTTTCCCCTGTGTGGCCTGATTTCAGGTGCTAAAATTATATTCACTGTGTCTACTCACGCCCCCTAACCGCATCTGTCAAGCTTTAGGGCTGGTGTAGGTTACGTTCATGAGTTTGGAATGGCTCCCTGGGTTCCACCAAGTATTAATGTTCTGCCCTTAGGTGAATTACTTAACCTCTCTGAACCTTAGATTCTTCATCTGTAAAATAGAAATGGTAGTATTATTTCCCTAGTAAGTTTATTACAAAGATAAAGTAGGTTTGTGCATGTGAAAAAAATGAGAAAAGTATATTTGTACATAATAAGCACTCAATAGATGTTAGCTTCTATTGTTTATACTTCTATCATCATTGTCATCATCATGACATATGAAGTTGACAACCTGCCAGAAAATGGGACTTGCTTATCCAAAATTAGAAATGGAAAGTTTATAAAGCTTAGGTGCCAAGCCAAAAACTTCTCTCCAGTCTAACTACTTATTATAGAAATTTAGCTCCAAAAGAAAGACGTCTCTACCTGTTGGCATTTCAGAAGATATGGGACTCAGCACTGTGTGCCTCATGGATCCACATGCCACATGCTGCCATTGCTTTATTAGGGCTGTCTGTGGAAGGGGAGGAGAGCAATGTGAATCCCATTTAGCCCACTGCAGATGCTGGAGTGGAATAGAACTCAGCTGCTTCCACGACACGGCAAGTAAAAAGAAGTGCTTTCCTCCTTGGAGGTAGAGAGGAAATTGAGGACACACCGTTTTTGCCCTGTCTTCACCTCATTCTGCCCCCTTTTTTTTCTGGTACCTTATACTTGATTTGGGGACTGGGCCCAGGGAATATTGACATTGTGAAGAGAGAGGACACTCGAAAGGGCAAATGCTGCCTCGTGACTGAAATAATAACAGCCAGTCTCAGCTTTTTCTTCCCCTTTTTCCCCTTCAGGACTATTTTCAGTGGGAAAAAAAAGGGGGGCTGTAAATTTGGTATTTTCATCTTGATGTTCAGGCTTATTTCAAAGAAGGTTTTTGTGACTTAAATCCTATCTTTGATTGTAGTAATCCTTGTTTTCCTGCTGCTACTCAAGGTGAGGAGGTAAAGTTCCCCAAACCAGCCTACCCTCCCTCCCCTACAGACTCAAGCTCTGTGCAAACATAGTTCTTATGAGAAATGTTTACTCAGTAGCTGTTCAGAACCCATAGGTTCCTTGATGCATATTTCCTCTGGAATAATGACTTCTTTCTTCCTCACTTCTTTTTTTTTTTTTGAGTTGGAGTCTCACTCTGTCGCCCAGACTGGAGTGCAGTGGCCACTCCTGGCCACCGCAGCTTCGACCTGCTGGTTTCCAGCGATCCTTCCACCTCAGCCTTCCAAGTAGCTGGAACTACAGGCGCGTGCTACCACGCCCGACTAATTTTTTATTTATTGTAGAGATGAGGTCTCGCCAAGTTGACCAGGTGGGTCTCGAACCCACGGGCTCAGGCAATCCACTCACCTCTGCCTCCCAAACACAAGATTATAGGCTGAACCACCGAGCCTGCTTTTTTCCTCATTTCTAAGTCCCAGCCTTTAGAAGTAGAACTGATATCCTGTCTGAAATGAGGAAGGGTAGATATGTAGGTAAAAGTCAGGGTGTGTGCAATTTATGTGCCATATATAGGCAAGTTTGCTGGCTCTTTTAAATTTTGAAACTGAATTTGAGTTATAGCAGCTGCCATTTATAGAGTACCCAGTGTAACTATTACACTATGTAATCTTTATTTAATCTTCCAAATATTCCCCCTTTTACAGTGAATAAACCGAGGCTTAGGGAGGATCAGTGATTTCCCTAGGGTCTCAGAATCTCCATTAGTGGTTCTCAAACTGGTCCAAGGTCAGCAGCATCTTTATCACCTGGAAACTCACTAGAAATGCAGACTATCAGGTTCCACCCCAGACCTGGTGAGTCAGAAACTGTGGGGGTGGGGGGGCAAGTTGTTTTAACAAGTCAATCTTTGGGTGATTCCAGTCCATGCTCAAGTTTGAGACCTACTCGTCTAGACCTAGGCCACAGAAGTTCACCTGTCACTTGGCTACATCTTGATTATTTTGGGGTTTTTGGCTGCATCTGAGGGATTGATAATAAGCACATATAAAAATGCTGAAATTAGCACAGCATTAGTCAATTTTACTTCCTTTTCATTATAATTAGATAGCTTTCCAGTAAAATACTGCTTTAGAAACATTTTGAGGTGAATGTTCTGTGACCTGGGATAGTTCCCAGCAGCTGAAAGGCCTTAGGCTTTATACTGCCTTCTTTTGCACTGCCCACTTTTGCACTTGAATCATCCTTTAGCTTCCCCAGAATGACGATCATAGTGCAACATTTTTGGTGGTTTCATGCCAAGATCTGCTCTGTACCCTTAGTGTCCTACAACATTCTCTAGAAGTCATTTTAAGGAAAGAGTTGAGTTCGTGAGGAAGGTATGTTCAATGGTCTGCTCTAGAGCTGAGCCCCTCCATTTGCACATTCCACGTCAAAAACAGATTTTGGAAAGCTTTCTTTTAAGTGGAAGGAAGAAAAGTTGCTCTGGCATTTCATGCACCATTGTATTAAATGTTACTTGCTCCTCACTATTCATTCAACCGGATGGCATATTGCCACATCTCTCACCTCAGAATGATTCCATAAATGTCAAGTAAAAAGTAATCCAACCAAGATCCTTTTCTGGCATAGAATAGTACAAATTTTAAAATAATGCCCGATTATATTTTTAATATAAAAGACTTTCACAGATGAGAAGAGGTAAGTGAGAGAGATAAAACTCATAATTAGATATTTAGCATCAACTAATTACTGGACTAATTATTCCAAAAGTACTATGGAACATAAAAGTCAAGTCATACCTTCTCCAGAACCACTCACAGCATGTGACTCTACTGGCAGAATTGGCTTACAACACAAGTTTTAGTGTTGATGCTTGAAGTTAACAAAGGGCATATTTCACTTGTGTCTACTGGTTATTGAATTGGCTTTTCTCAGTACAACTCATTCGTCCTAAAACTTAATCACTATA